TTTGTTATCGTAAATTCTCCACACCGATTCATTTAATTTATCTGAGTGGTGCGTCAAACTAGATAGTAAACAAAAGTACCTTAGTGTTAAAATGCAGCGTTATTCGTATGCGGAACTTGCGGATATGCATTTAATTTACGGAGAAGCTGGTGGTAACGGAAGACGAGCCTCGAGAATCTACGCCCAACGGTTTCCAGAACGTCTTCATCCGCATCACGCCATTTTTGCAAGGATTCATGGACGTCTTTGTGTCAGTGGCAGCATCAGACACCTCGCGGGAACAGGGCGGCCCTTCACGAGGCGCAGAGTAGAATTTGAGGAAGCGATTCTGCATCGTGTACAGGCCAATCCGCGTACAAGCGTGCGTGCTATTGCACATGATATGGGAGCGTCTCAAAGTACTGTTTGGCGGGTTCTCCATGACCAGCAACTACACCCATACCACCTTTTAAAAGTCCAAGCCATGGGTCCAGAAGACTATCTGCCGCGTCGACGTTTTTGTCGTTGGTGGCTGCAGCAGGAGTTAAGGCAACCAAACTTTGGTCGCTACGTTTTGTTCACTGACGAGTCCTGTTTTACAAAGGACGGTATTAATAGCCGTAACAGTCACATTTGGGATGAAGAAAACCCTCATGCCATAGCCATCCATAGAGACCAACATCAGTTTTCAATTAACATATGGTGCGGATGGGCATGCTTATGGTCGATTCTTACAGCATGTGCTACCGGAACTATTAGAAAATGTGCCACTGAACATAAGAGCCAACATGTGGTTTCAACACGATGGCGCTCCAGCCCACTTTTCTTTACAAGTGCGGCAGTATTTGGACGACAAATTTCCAAATAGGTGGATAGGCCGAGGTGGCCCTGTGCCTTGGCCTGCGCGGTCACCCGACCTGACCCTACTGGATTATTTTCTCTGGGGCCGTCTGAACGCTTTAGTGTACGAAACTCCTGTTCCCAACCAACAAGAGCTACTGGGAAGAGTGATGGCTGCGTCCGCACATGTTCAGGACATACCGGGGGTATGCCACAGAGTTCGCCGATCATTGAACAATCGTGCACAGCTGTGTATTGAGCAAGGTGGAGGACACTTTGAGCAATTACTGTAGGTAAGCTGTTTCAAGAAACTGATCTTTTTTTATTGCTGCAGCCCAAACGGCATATTTCCGAACAGGGGTTTATAAGGCAAAATTGTTCATTTTGATGCCCTCTACAATCCCTATCATTTTGTCGCAATGATTATGGAACACCCTGTATAAGTCGAGAAATAAACGCGTCAAAGCTAATATAAATACAGGGTGTTTCAGAACGATGGGATCAAACTTGTAGGGGTTATTCAGTGTAACAGTAGAAAACATTTGAGTATAGGGACACATATCCGGCGCTTGTGTGTTGTTATCTTTAAAAATAACAGAGATTCTTTTTTGTAGCTGCATTCTATATCGCCTTAGTCGTGCTATCGTATTTGTGAAGTTTGCAAGAATTTAACGCGAATTAATTGTTGCTAATGGAAAACTTTACCAAGCAGCAGCGCGGTTGTATCAGGAACGATATCCCGAACGACAGCATCCGGGATACAAAAAGTTAATTGCTATTCATCGGCGGCTCTCCGAGACAGGCATATTTAAAATCAACATGCATGATACTGGTGTTGCTCGAACCGTAAGAACGGTCGAATTTGAAGAAGAGGCCCTTCAGCGAGTTTCCGACGAACCATCATGTGGCACACGTCACATTGCTGAGGATATGAATACAAGTAACGCTTCCATCTGGCAGATGCTACGCGAGCAACAACTTTATCTTTACCACTTCCAGAAAGTTCAAGGATTGACTGCAGCCGATTATCATCCTAGAGTAGTTCAATTTTGTCAATGGCTTCTTCATCAAATCGTTGCACAACAACATTTTTTACCCTATGTTTTATGGACCGATGAATCCTCTTTCACAAGAGACGATATTTTTAATAGCAGGAATAGCCACGTTTGGAACAAAGAAAATTCCCATGCTATTTTTCCTGAAAAACATCAGCAACCTTGGTCTGTCAACGTATGGGTAGGCATTGTTGATGATTATTTGATTGGGCCATACCTTCTTCCGGATCGGTTAACAGGACCTATTTACCGGCGTTTCTTGAAGGAAGTTCTTCCAGAACTTCTAGAAAATGTTCCATTGAACGTTCGACAGCAAATGTGGTTTCAGCATGATGGAGCGGCGGCTCAATTTTCTGTACAAGGAAGGCTCAGCGGTTTGGGCACCGTGAGATTGCCAAAGGTGGAGCAGTTTCTTGGCCTCCTAGGTCACCCGATTTAACGTCGCTAGATTTTTTCCTGTGGGGACGTATAGAGTCTTTGGTTTACGAAACTCCAGTAGAAACAGAGCAAGACTTAAATGGATGAATTACAGCAGCATTTGAAATCATTCAAAAAGAGTATCAAATTTTTAGTCAACTCCGCCGAAATCATGTACGACGCTTAAATCGGTGTATTGAGGTTGGAGGAAGACATTTTGAACAATTGTTGTGATGATAGCATGTACAAAAGGCTAAAATTAAATGCATTAAATCCTATTTACGCAATTGAGTCCCTATACTCAAATGTGCTATTAAAAATATCGTCTCTTGTGAAAGAGGATTCATCGATCCATAAAACAGGGTAAAAAATTTTGTTGTGCAGCGATTTGATGAAGAAGCCATTGACAAAATTGAACTCTAGGATGATAATCGGCTGCAGTCAATCCTTGAACTTTCTGGAAGTGGTAAGGATAACGTTGTTGCTCGTGTAGCACCTGCCATATAATAATAATAATAATAATAATATATGTCTTTATTGAAACCTTCGAATTGAGGCGAAGTTTAGCCACATGGCTACTCTACCACTTAACCTCAAAAACGAAGTGAAAAAATAATAATAAGGACAATAGTACAGTACAGACAAATAAAAAGAAAACAATGAACAATTACAGAATGTATAAAGCATGGAAAATTTACAAAAGCTACAAAATCAGTCGGCTAATCATCAGGGATTTTTAAAAAGGCAATTCCAAAAGAGCAGATTTGTATTTAATTTTAAAAACAGGTAAGCTTTTGGACTTGAGTACCTGGTTGACAGAGTTGTAAGTCCTGATAGCATTGTACGTAAAACATCTTCGGAATATACATGTTCTGTGGAATGGCATACCGAAGAGATGGTTATGTCGTAGGGCTCTAGAAATGACTTGACCACGAGGTACAAGTTTGTCCATAAGATAAATGGGTGACCTTGTGGAAATCAATTTATGGACAAATACACCCAACGAGAAAGTATAGTGTTTATCAAGTTTTAGCCATTTTAGCTCTTTTATCTTAGACGATACGTGATCATACCTTCTGAGGCCATATACGAACCGACAACAACTGTTTTGGATTTTCTGCAGTCTATATTTAGTGTTATAATCAATACAAGGATAATAAAGAACCAGCGAATAAAATATTTTAGACATAACATATATATATATATATATATATATATATATATATATATGGAAGCGTTACTTGTATTCATATCCTCAGCAATGTGACGTGTGCCACATGATGGTTCGTCGGCAACTCGCTGAAGGGCCTCTTCTTCAAATTCGACCGTTCTTACGGTTCGAGCAACACCAGTATCATGCATGTTGATTTCAAATATGTCTGTCTCGGAGAACCGCCGATAAATAGCAATTAACTTGTTGTTTCCCGGATGCTGTCGTTCGGGATCACGTTCTTGATACAATCGCGCTGCTGCTTGTGCATTGCAGCTTGTTGTCCCGTATGCCAAATGCATATCCGCCAATTCTTGATTGGTAAAGCTTCCATTAGCAACAATTAATTCTTGTTAAATTCTTGCAAACTTCACAAATACGATAGCACGACTAAGGCGATATAGAATGCAGCTACAAAAAACAATCTCTGTCATCGTTTTTAAAGGTAACAACACACAAGCGCCGGGTATGTGTCCCTATACTCAAATGTTTTCTACTGTTACACTGAATAACCTATAGAAGTTTGATACCTTAGTTCTGGAACACTCTGTATAGCTCCTATAACTTATCCTGTGGTAATCCCACTGATATATATCGCAATGACTCATTCCAGATACTGATACAGATAACTATTTTTCTTAAAATATTTTTGGTATTCCAGGCTCTGCCGGGATCGCTGAATTGTATTAGAAAGTTTCTAAACATCTGTCGTTTCATTTGTTGACCTTAATAACGTGGGGATGAATCAAAGCTGATGGGTCAGTTAATTAAAAAAGGACACAGTATCTAAATTGGAATGAGTGAAAGTACCAAATACTCGCTTACTTACTTACTTACGTAAACGTTATTAAAATGTCTAAATAGCTTTATAGTTTACAACTTTGAGTGCTTTATATCGACCACAATCACTACAATTTTACTAATTTCTATAATCTATTCTAAAACGTTTTCAAATTGGGTGATTACAAATAAATGGCATTAGGTTTTCGAAGTTAAGCCAAAATTTTTAGTCAATAAGTAAGTTTCATTAAATTAAATATTTAAAACACACATGACAACAGCGCGTCGATCTTTCATCACTCTTATCGAACCGGCAATCGATCGCAAACGGTGACAGTGGTAAATATGTTGTTTTGTTTTTGATCGCGTACTTCGTCGTGTTGATTTACAATGTTCTCGAATAAAGAGTTTGTCGACACGTTGTTAGTTTACGGTGAAGCTCGTCAGAACTCAAATCTTGCAGCTCAAATTTTGACGAAGAAAAACAATGTATGTATCAAAATTGTGTTCCCTATTTATAAGTGGATTTTTTTAATACGTTCAATAACCTTTCACACACCGGATGAAGCGCTGAGACAGTTAGTGGTAAGTCCGTTTTTTTAATTATTTGCATTTTACAAGTACATTATCAAATGATGAAATAATACCTAAGTGCCATAAATAACAAACGACATCTTTATTTACACTGCCTTCCGTCATAAAGTCGCTTTTCTCTAAAAAAATGCCGTTTTGACCCCCATGTTATATGAAACTTTTTGCTTTAACCCCATCTATCACCCATTTAAATAGTGACTCTCATAATGTTTACATCCTCTATACAGACAACCGAAACTTTACCTGCTAGAGCTTACTTGAAACAAATAAGAGGTTCTTCAGAAGGGATTACGCGCCTATGCAGAGATCTCTCTAAGATATTACAGGGCACTCTATTATGTTCCTACATAATTAGAAACTCGCTAGGACAGTGCAGAGGTTACAAATACTAATCGACGACAAAAAGCTACAAAACACGAAACGACGCTATTTCGAAAATGTTCGCATAGCTTGTCATTACTTGTTTTTTGGTGTACAATGGCTGATCCTTGGAATCGCTCGATTTATTGAAAATTAAATTCCACAAGTTTAAATTCAACCAACCTTACGAAAGGCCGAATATCTATCATGAGAAAATAGTAACCAACAAACATTTTAACTAATAATTACGTTAATTCGGCCACAAAATAGGTTAACGCCGGCTCCACACGTTGGCCCCAACGTTGGCCCCAACGCCACTCGCCCGACGTGTGTATCTAGAAAATAGCGTTGGCCCCAACGTTGGTGCGACCGTTGGTAGTTGGCTGTCGATTGTGGGTTTTATCAAAGGAATCTGCGCCAACGTTGGCAATCCGTCCACATATTGGCTCACTGGCTCAGTCTTGTTGTAACACGCATCGAGTGCGTATGTGGAGATATGTCATCAACATCGCCACCGGCGTGGACAAACGAAAAAGTTGTAGAATTTTTAGAGTTATACCAGGCGCATCCAATAACATGGAACGCCTCTCGCAAGGACCATAAAAATAGAAATTTAGTAGCCGATGCATGGCGCAATATTCAGCAGAATATGAAAACGATTTATTCTATTGAGGAATTAAAAAAGAAGCCGAAATTGCTCTAACCGCTTTTACAGTACTGATGAGTGCGTATAATTTATATTTGTCATTGAAAAAAAAAAGAAAAAGCCACGTCAAAGGAGATGGTGGATGACAACGCATTACAAAACTCGGTACCAGTAAGTACAGACCATACACTCCATTCTAGCAGCTTTTTACAAGGCAATTTAATATTCACCATCTCCTTTGACGTGGCTTTTTCTTTTTTTTTTCAATAACAAATATATATGTAAATATTTCGGTTTCGGTGTCGGACATCTTCACATTGGCTCTGACAGAAAGGAACTAGTATAATAACCAACGTGTGGACGCTTCACCAACTTAACCGAAAAACGTTGGTACCAACGTTGGGGCCAACGTGTGGAGCCGGCGTAAAAAGATTGCATGACGAGCTTAAAAATCTTAATAAAACTAAAGTAATTTTGAAGTCAATATTAGGTCGTCTTGTGGTAAAATCGTTGTAATTTTTTGCCCTATAAAATCACATGAATCTCACCTAAATTAAACAATAAAGAAAACATGCCAACGAGCAAGTGCCATCGATTCAACGGATTCCCTACACAATGCGGGAAGTAAAATTCTGGCATAAGACCGTAAGACGCGTGCTCTTGTCGCTCGACATCAACAAAGCTTCTGATCCGGACCTGATTTTTGCCATTGTACTGAAAAGGTGCGCAGCGGAGCTTGCTCCAGTTCTTTCGCGTCTCTTCCAGGTATCTTATGACTCCGGCACCTTCCCAGAAAACTAGAAATTTGCTCATGTCCAACCCATCCCAAAAAAGGATCTAAGACCGACCCTTACAACTACAGGCGTATAGTTGTTATACCTAAGTAAGGTGATGGAGAGGTACATGAATCGCGAGCTTCTGGACTACCTCGAACGTCACGGCTTGATTAGCAACAGGCAGTATGGTTTCCGGCTACAGCGATCTACAGGGAACCTCCTAGCTTACGTAGCGCAATTGTGGAGTAAACTCGTCCAGACTTATGGTGAGGCTCATGTCATCATGTCATTGCTCTTGATATTACGAAAGCGTACGATCAGCTGTGGCACGCTGCTACCTTATGCAAACTTCCATCGTATGGCCTCCTAGAAAAGCTTTGCAGATGGGTGGCTGACTTTCTCTCTGGCCAAAAGATATCCGTCTTTATTGGGTTCTCCTCTTCATCCCACAACGGCATTGCGGGTGTTCCCCAGGGATGGGTCCTGGCTCCGACACTGTTCCTTTCACATATCAGCGACCTCCTTTCGTGTACGATCAACAAAATCCACAGCTTTGCTGACGACATCACTCTACACAGTGACAAGCCGATCTCTGCCGCTGAGCTGGAAAAAAGAAGACTAGCAACGATTTCCTCTTTGGCGAGAGACCTGGAAGCTATCACTGCAAGTTACAATCTTGTACAGTTTAATGCTTCCAAACCACAGTACTGTACCTAGACGAGCAAAAAACGTCCTAGCGCTCATCCCGTTTCGGGTACTGATCACACGTTTGGGGTGGTGAAGCCCCGACTGTATTAATTATGCTCGTTGCTCTCCAGAGGAGGGCCGTCCGATTGATCGATGACTCTTCTCTAACAGACAGTCTCGGGACCCTTTCGCACCAGCGGGCCGTCGGCGATCTAGCTCCCTTCTACTGCTACCCCAACGGGCTTTGTTCCTCAGAGCTCTCTTTCATAATACTGTCCCGCAATGTGTCTGCCAGACAGACCCGTCTGACTTTGGTCTCCTATCCTAACCATGTCGAACTTGTAACAGGATCTTCGTCCGAGACTCCCGGACCTCTCAAAGTCGTGCCTTGAATATATAGTTCAGACCTCCAGTCCAATATTTCAATTTCTGGACTGGTCCGAGACCCCTCGAATTTCAAATTCTGTTACCTTCTACTTGTCTTCCTATAGGAGGTAGACTCGCGTAGAACCTGTCATAAAGTAATATAATCTTGACTCATTGAAACACTCACTTTACGCGGAATGATGCTTCCTCTGTTCTCCAAGTAATCAGAGAATGTGGTAAACGCCCGAATGAATACTTTCGGAACCCTCGAACTCAGTTAGCTTCAGTTAATGAAATTAATGGAACTCAAGTTAAAGGAGACTCATTTTTATTAATAATTGAATTACAGACTCAAAACATCTATACACTCGTGAAGAGTGAAGTAGCAATGACAAAAAAACAGTTAACTTCGTAAAACTAATAGGCTGGGGAAAAGATCTCTGGAGGGGTGAATTACGACTAAGTTAAAAGGAACGGTGACAACTAAATTACAAAAAATTTAAGTTTGAACCTAATAGCAAAATTAAACTCTAGAATCTCAACTTTACAATGCTAATTAATCAAGCTAATGCATTGAATCCTTAGTTGACTAGGTGTTAGCTTTAGCCAGAAGGATTAATAAAGAAGGGAAAAGCCCCCATTTAAGTAACTGGAAGTGCTTACTGATGAGAACACAACTTGACAAAAACTCTACCAATGCCACACTTATTAACAGCCACTAACTGAGGGAAAATCGAAGCAAATTTTTCAACCGTAAAAATCAAAGGTAAGAGAAGAACTGAGGTTTTTAGTTTCAAAACTATCGGAGGTCAGTTGCGGATTTTCCCCTCCATCAGAAGCCGAGTACAACCCTTGTCTCCTCATTGGTCGATCAGTTTACAACCCTTACAATGGTCGTCTGAATCTCTAAAGATGGAAACTAACTTGGCCAATGATTGTTAGGCTAAATTTTTGAACTCAAAATGGCCTTAAACTCTATTGGTTAATTACGTTCCCTTGTCCGACCTCAAGGAGTGTCGTCAGCGTACAGTCTTCCCTTAAGTTTACGCAACACGCCCACTTCAGTGGCGCCTCGAGACTTTAATTGCTTTGGGGCAAACCCTGCAGTTCTCAATAATTTCAATGGATTGGGAATTCCTGTATTGCTGAGGCCACAATTCGAGATGTCCTCTTAAATAATTATAAAATTATACATAGTATTTAGGTAAAACTAACGGTGACTCTCTTCTGGAATTTTTTTATGTATTTTTAACAAAATCAGCTTCTTTGGAACTACGCAGTCTTTCGTTAGTTTCACCTGCTCCTCTCTAATGATAATTTCCAAACCGCATCTGTCAACCCGTACCTTGACAGAAGGTAGAATCGTATCCAGCCTGGCGCACCTGCTCCTATCAGCTAGGGCAAAATTCTACTAAAAACCTAGCTGTTTGTCTCCTCTTTTTCATATTTTCCCACAATTATGACAATTTTTAGTAATATGCCTTAGGAAGACTTAGACATCTGCTAACCAAATTGTTGAGATTCAAATTTCTCAGCACTCCTTTGGTTGTAACTTTATAGTTATAGCAACCAAATGTTATTACAGAATAGATCTCCAAACCCTGTTTTTGTCCCGCCCTATTTGAAAGGTCCAACTGTTATAGCATCCGGACCTATTATCTATTTCCTTCGAAATGTTAATTTCATTTCCTTGGCGTTCACTGGGAGGTTTGCAGATGCGAGTGTTTGTTATGCCCTTAGTTTTTATGTTTATTTCTATTTTATGGATGCGACGAATCTTTACAAGGGTAGGCGGCATGACGAATTATTTCAACGAATTTAGAAATTGATAACTTGGTCGGCTACAAACTTCATACATCCAGAACTGGCCGATACGACCGCTCCTTTGTCCCGAGGGTGTCGATATTGTGGAAAAATCTACTAGAGAAAGCTTTTCCCAGTTCCACTAACCTTAGACAGTTCAAAAATCGAATTAACAAAATTTCTTTGAGATCCCCATAGCAGCCGCGGTGTCCCGGCATTTAGGCTTCTGCTTGCGCAGCTGCATCGATATAAAGAAAACCTAAACTTGTAATATAGGTATTTTTGTAAATAGTAATATAATATGTAAATAATAAGTTATTGTTCATATTGCAATATTAAAAAGATCATATGTCAAATATGAATGAATTTCTAACCAATAGTGCATCTTGACCCCACTTCAGACCCAATAATTACTTACACATCAAATTCCAATTCAAGGTAAAACTGGGACCTTGTTTTCACTTTTGGGCAAACAATTTGAGATTAAATAATTATTCAGACTGATGTATGTAGGATGTATTTATCAATTTCCCGTAGCTGCTGGCGAGATGTGCATAGTTATACTACAATCCCACTTCGTATTTCGTGTATGTTATCGGAACAAGTTCCTAACAGAGATCATTATTTCTTTTTAAATTACAGTCGTTGCCTAATGCAGAGCGAGAAAGAGAGAGAGAGAGAGAGAAAGAGGTACGGACGAATCGTGGTGCGTTCATTAGTAGCGTTTCGTGTTCGATTTTGATACTTCTGTGGCTTTTACTGTTTTTATTCAGCTTGTTCCAAAGAAAAGACGAGTAGGTGCTGAAATGTGCCATAAAGAAGAAAAAATCACTTCTGTATTACATAGTCCAAATAGTGAGCGGAACGAATCGTTACTACAATGTCATCTATTACTTTTTTCTCTATTTGAAAAATCAACATCGATTTTTTTATTGATAAATGAAGGTGCGTTTATGCCATTTATGTGTGAAAAATATCTCAGTCATGTGACCACCGCGGCTTCGTTTACAGGCCAACATCCGAACATTAAAATTTTCAATGACTTTTCCCAGAATAATCGGGTCTATGGCCGCAATTTCAGTCCGAAAATTGCGCTTTAGGTCTTGAATTATTCGGGGACCATTCGCATACTACTTTTCCTATCAAAAATTCCCAAAGAAAATAGTCAAGAGGTGTTAAATCGCAGGCTCTCTGGGGCCAACTGACATCTTGAAATTTCGTGTGCAATAAGATGATTGTTTGGCGAGATATCTTAAGCCGTTGCTTCGTCTTGATGAAACCAAAGATCGTTGGCACCAATACGATTCAATTGTGGCCCCAAAAAGTCTGTTGACATGCCGCGATAACCTTCCCCGTTGACGGCAATGGCCTTTTCTTCGGCATCTTCAAAGAAGAATGGTCCAACGATGCCACCAGCCCATAATCCGCACCAGTCGCTTTTTCAGGATGGAGAGGCTGTTCGTGATATTGGTGTGGATTTTCAGCCCCCCAGAATCTGCAATTTTGCTTATTTACGTACCCATTGAGCTG